CACTTGCGAATTTTGACTGAAAGATCTACTATTACAGGTACATGCCTTGAACCTGTCAGGTTATTCCAGCTTGTGACATACCTTTAATCGACCTTGTTTTCACTGGAGTTCATATTGATATTTGTTTAGAAGTTTCCTTACGAATACTTATTTTCCTGGGAGGAACTTTGATTGCTAATTCTTTTATTTTGAGGTAGTTTTCAGAGCTAAAGATTTACAGCATTGTATTACAGAAATTGTAAACTATCAAGTGTATCTCTTTGATGCACTAGTTTGTGAATTTACTGTGAATTCAACATTTTAATTCCCACATACCTGTACTTAACTGTAAATACTTGAATTGAAAATATTGATCTTCATGCGGGGGTAAATAGACATTCATTTGATTAATGTAATTTAATTCTGAGTTGTAGCTACACTCACTTGAGAGACATCTGATTGTAAATACAGAATGGTGTATATTTTGTATTATAGAGTGGAGACATTTTGTAAATAAATTCGTATCAAATATTGTGAATAATATAGATTGGGTTTTGTTGCAATCATTTTTGTCTGGCCTGCATCCAGTCCTTCTGTTGCAGTGGCCGTAAAGTGAGCTCACTGTGACAAATATATTAGCGAAAATAAAAAATAGAAAGTAAGGCACAAATAGAGAAACATGTGAGTATTATGTAGAAAATAGTTGAAAAAGCCAAGTTTTAAAAACTAGAAGAGACTCAATTTGTCTGAGAGTTTTTGGCAGATCGTTCCACATTTTAGCCCCAGAAACAGCAAAGCTCGAGCGCAGGCTTTCCGTGTTGGCTAAGGGAACCCGCAGAGTAACGTTGTTTTTTGCCTTGTACAGCTGTTAATAAATTTACAGAATAGATATGCCGTATACTCTGGACATAAATGGTACATGCATTGATACACTGGAATGTTTTTTAAAAAAATCCTATCGGCAAACCTTTACCATTTCAATTCATTAAAAATATATGTAAAGGCAGTTCCGGATAGAAAAACCAGAATTTACCTAGAGGTACATAAAGCAGTATGTACGATTTTTTTTCCAAAACAGTCATAAGTCGCCTTACAAAAACAAAAACCCAAGAAACAAACAAACAACAAGCAAACAAAACTAAAAACACAACAACAACAACACTGTGGCCATCATTTGTAATTCTAGTGCATGAGTTGCCTTTATATTTGGTGGAATTATAAAGCAAATGCAACAAGAGGCTGTTGTGTATAAAGTATTATCCTGTGTCTCTCTTTGAGGATGTAAAGGTACAGTAATGATGTACATGCCGGTTTTTAATGGCATATCCAAGCACTACAATGAATTCAGGGACACAGTACTGGGCAGTGAACATGCTGAATATATTCGCCGTTGTTCAAGCCTGAAGTTCCTTACCTTGCAAAGGGTATATTTGCAATGGATGAATTAGGATTAATATCAGAGCAGGTTCGGGAAAGGACCCTTTCGTTCTTTCCGTTTCAGACAGATGGGGTGCAGTCTTTATGGTCCACTCATGTGTTCATGTGTTAGACGCGTAATTATTTTCTTTTAGGTCTTTATTTGGTTTAAAAAAACGAGAACAGACCTTTCCCAGTTATACCCAGCAAGATATGAGACCGAAGGGTACCCCCCAACATATCCAAGCCCTATACACATTCCAGACTGCTGTTACTTAACACCCCCCCCCAAGATGTCTGGAAAGGAATTCCCCAGATTCCTGCCAGACAATGACCAACACAAAGCAGGGGGGGGTTCTCTCCGTCTCATACCTTGATGCATATGTTCCCAGTTCAAAGCATGAAAGAGGCTGCACTCGGCATGCAGCTGTTGAGGTTCGTAGATTGACTGTTTAGTAGCATGTACTCTTTTATTCATTAGGTTAGATTTGAATGACAATACTTTGTAGGGTTCCAATACGGCTTTTAATAGATGTCCAAGAAGAAACACCATTTGCATTTATGAGATTATCATATTGGTAGGGGAAAATGCAATAGGTTGGTTAAGCAGCTATTTCGAAAAATGCACCTATTTCAGTTTGACGTGAGTCTATTTGAATTACAAATAAAACATTGTACAAAGTGATTTTATTCAGTGGGTTTGTACTGTGCAGATAATTATATATATTGACAATTGAGTGATTCTTTTTTATTCGAATTTTATTATGCATTTCCACGATATATTGTAATTAATGCAACAAATAATTTACAACAACAGAAGCGGCAAAATTATTGTGATCATAAATGCAAAGGCAAAACAACAAGCAAAGGCTATCTTATTTTGAATTTTAAAAACACATTATACATTTATAAGTTTCTTTTTCCAATTCAGTAAAAAATCTTTAAAAACTCTTATTAGAAACTTAACTGCAATGTAGGCCTACACTTTGATCAATGTCGAAGACAATATTAATGACAATGGTTCATATATAATTTCACATTTGTTACGCGACAATTGACAAAGCAGTGACTTCGAGTAGTACGTAGTATCCACAGAGTCATAGATTTATCTTATGAGACGCAATTTGAAAACTGGCCAAAACACGCTTGACGCTCATCATTATGTAGTTAGAATTTCAAACGTGGCGTTAAGCACCTAGTTCTTCGTAATTTTTCATTTAAGTAGAATGCAGGGTATGTCAAGACACCTTTAGAATAAAAATTGGAAATCCGTTGCTCCCAGGGAAAAATAGTTCCTTGCGCAGTTAATATGCTGCATGAGCTGCGAGAGTGAATTTCTGTATTGTCAAACGATTGGGTATTTTCAAGCAGTGCATTATTGGTTATTTCGATGTTCAATTCTGTTTCAATACCGAGTAAGTTAACATTTGTTTCTGTTTGTTCTACTGACAGCAACACGTAATCATTGCCTTTTATAGGAATCCTCATGCACCCCTCTACTGGTTATGTGTACAGGACTGCCTTCTACGTGTGTGGTTGCTTGTGTATATGTTTGTTATTTTGTCTGATGTTCATGTTCTGCCACTGTTTTAAAACATGCAATTGAGTCAAAAGTGTGGAGATCTGGCTAACTTTACCACGCACGTGCAAGACTAAGCATCATCGATGTGCTAAGACAAGAGTTTTCAGTGAAAACTCACCTCTTACTCTCATCTCCTTGAAGTTACTGATATACCCAGTAGAAACCGTGTTAATCAAACACCAGTATGCCCCTTGATCACCGAATCTCAATGACTTCACTGTCAATGGGTAGTCTGGTGCGTCTTTCCCAAAGGCATAGCGGGAAATGTTGCTGTTTGTTACTTCATCGTTGGAAACTCTGAATGTTATAATGTGAACAGATTCACTAACGGATCCAGCAATGCTGCTTCTCAACCACTGCAGTAGCCGAAGAGTTCCGTTAAAGGTGCATGGGAATCTTGCCTCCTGACCAGTGTCTGTCCAATCAGGTCCATTTACAACAACCTGTCCTTTAGCCACTGAAGAAAAGGATAATAGTGATAATAAATAAGTAAATAAATAAAAAATAAACCTTGTGCATCTTAGCTAGGTACTATGTTCACTTTCAGAGAACGGAACTTCGGTCTAGACTTTATTGATACGGTTAAGAGAGAAATGCCAATTTCATAAAGAAATCCAATTCAAAGGTCAATTCTTTTATCTTACCTCCCTGAAGGCATATCAGCAAACCGACAGCGAGAAAATATACGTTGACTATAGACGCCATTTGTATGCACTACTTTCATGTCAGGGTCACAGTATTGTACAATTACCCTTTTTACACTATCGATTTTGAACCCGGAAATTCCTCACATTAGGACTCAAACACCGAAGCATAATTCTTTCTACAAGGGCAGTGTACTGAGCACGTTCAGGGCCAGATGGGTTTATGTTTGAGGGGTTAAAGTATGTGTAAGGCGGAACGAGGTCGAGTGAAGGTCCGCATTATAGACTATTCTAGTTCTTTCAGAGCCAAAACTGGTTCCAAGGTGTGCACTGAGGTTGAGGGCACACTGGCATATACGTTTCAGAATTGCAAGTGACACTTTGGATTGGTTATGAATTTTGTTGCTCAACTATAATTGGCAGTATTCTGTGGGAGCTAATTGGTTTCGGCTCGAGATAAAACCCTTTCTAAAATGCCCAACATCGTCACACGTTAGAAGATTTTGAACCAGGATATGTAGTTTTCTTGTGGTTGAACAAGTGTAATGGCGTTTAGTTGTCTAAAGATATGTCTGGAAAAATGGGGCATTGGAATGTGCATTTGCGAAGGTTGTTGTTTAGGCTTGCGGATGGCATATGGTAAAGATTCAGTGATTGCGGTAATTGAATTCTAAGTACAGAATCATATTCCAAGTATAAACATTTTTTAAAGTGGAACCTATCTTTTATCTTCAGAAGTCTCCTTCATGTAAAATTTTGGTTCAACATGTATAACCAGAGACGTATTCCATCCAACCATACTGTACTAATCACAGGGAAAATGTAAAAACTAATCAGTTGTTTCATGTAAGGTTAGTGCTGCCAAGAAAAAAAAAAACACACACAACCACACAAATAAAAACCTCTCGCCCGACCCAGCCTTTCTATGAAAAAAGGACAATTTATTTTTGCAGCCTTATGTGGACTGTTCCTAACAACAAGGGGCTGCAGACGTTTAAGAGACTATGCTATTATCTCAGGGATTAAATAACATCCAATGAGATCAACAAATCTCTTAAAGAAGTACTGCTTGATTTTCTTTTCCGTAAGGACTACGTGCAGTGTACTTACACTAAATTATAAATTGTTACAAATCACTTGCCTGAATATCTCCATACATTAAGTTTCTCTATTCTGCATTTCTTCACTAGCACAAATTTCAACAAAATGCCTAAACCTCGGTTTGAATGTAATTGGCTATGAGATTCCGCTTATACAAAATGTCCAGCAGTCTTGGAAGTAGCCTCATCTCATGTTGTATGGAGAATACTACTCAAAGGAGAACATCTTTTAGACTCCCGTCAAAGCGCCCAACACACAGAAATTACATTTCCTTGATTTCTTCTTTTTGGTGCGCTGAATTTTGAATTTATTTGTATCTTCTCACCATGTGAGAAAATGTCTACTGGCAGTGTGCTTAAAGACATAAACAATGTAATGCTTAGTGCGATATTAGAACAAAAACAAACTTTGTTTCATTTTAATTAGTATTGAAGCCTTCAAAAGTTAAAAAAAATGTCCTTTAGATTATATATTGTGAGAAAAATATAAAGGAAAATGATTTTACACGACCTTAGACAGAAATAACTGATTTACCTATAGAAACACTTCGTCGTGTGCCTGAAAAAACGTGCCGGGAAGCATGATCACATTATTAAAAATGTTCCCGGCAAAAGGTCGTAAGAAAGATACTGTCTTTATTTAGTAAAGCAAATATATTTACTAAAACATCAACACAGGAAGGACAAAAAGTAGCCTTTGAAAACTTACCAAAAGACTTGTTTTTTTCTAAGTTGTATGCAAAGAAATCTTGCATACATACGTCAATTTTCCAGGCAATGTGTTTTTGCAGTAATCATGCTTCCCAGCAAAAGGGCGTAAGTCACTTACGATAACTTTTTTTTTTTGTGATAAACATTGATTATATATGCATAGGACAGATATAATTTCATTACACATGAGTGTCATCGACTTGCGGGAAAGGAGCATGGACAGACAGCTAATTACAATTTTGCGAGCAAACTCAGGAAGCAAGCCACAACTTAAATTCTTCACTTAAAATAAAAAAGGAAGGACACATTTGTCCAAAAACATTGAGTAATCATCAAATGTTACGGTTCACTTTACTGGGACGTAAACATTTTTACAGTCTTGCAACCAAACCAGCAGTGAATTTCATATGGCCTGGTCACTACAGTGTTTGTCACAATTCACCCTTTAGGTCGATAGTAATCACTCATGCCTTTGACATGTAAGGTTCATTTCTAATCCCTTTGGGAGTGTTGACAAAAACCGGCATTGCGAGTATAATGACGAACAAGAGTTACATGTTTCCCAGAAGCAAGCCTGTCACTATGCAGTTCAAACGCTATGTACATTATTCTGCCTTAGATCTTTTCATCAGGAGACCCTTGAATCGTCACTTCGTAATCCGACTCTTGATAATCTGAAAGAGTTATGTAGTCCTGAGAAAAAAAGAGAAACAAAATAAACATAAAGTTAAGTATTTTCCAACGATTCTAATTTTGGGAACCAGAACCGAAATAAGTTATGTATCACAAATCTCATCTTTTAAACATTAGAGAAGTTATTGGACGGCTTAGAGCGAATTACCATCCACATTACGCTTCTCTGTAATTCAGTATTTTAATACTTCATTCCAAAACAGAAATATTGTTTTACATATAAAGTGCGGACAGTCCTTTGTTTTCCTGTGGTTAAGGAAACTTGAAGAAAATGCTCCTTTTCTCCAACTATGATAACTCAACTAGGATAACTCGTTCGAGCTGTTTTTTGTGATGATTTCCTTGACTGTTCCTCTTCATCTTGCCACGGATAATCTTGATCCCAAAATGTCTCTGAAACTGTTTTTAGGGAGGGGAAAACATTATGTGGACGTGTGCGAGTCCACACAACGCCTTTGCACCCTGCATTATGTGGACTTCTTTCGTGCAGAGGTCTACACTATGTGTGCCACGCCCGCAAAGCAAAACAAACATACGAAAAGAGCATGTTTGCTCCAATTCCTACGGGTCATCTTACTGTGTTAGTAAGTTAAAGTCAGACTGGCTTACATGTGGTGCCTCGAGTGCTTTCTCCAGCTTCTGACTGATGTCTGTAAATGACGGTCGGGTGGTAGGATCCTCCTTCCAACAGGTCAACATCATCTGATATCTACAAATATAAAGGATACGAAAGAATTAAAAATCCAATAAACTTCATTTCTGATTTTCATTTGATTACATTATCTAATACATAAGTAACACTAAACGACTTATATCATATTTTGTCTTTCACGTAAGAGGCTCTCTCAAATGGCTGACCATTCACGGAAAACTCAAAGCTCTTTTATGAAATTATCTTTATCAACTTTTGACACAAACAATGGTAGCAGTAATCAACGTGAATTCATGAAACAGGACATTTTGAATGGACTTTCTGTATGCCTGTAGAAGCAATCAAGCAATAGATACGAGTTCTTTCACTTAAACTGAATGCGTGATATTTTTTTTTACATTTCGTCTTGGCAGTGGTCGGGTCTTGGCATGCGGTATCCTTCTTGTAGCTTGGCTATCATTGTCTTGGCGCTCATAGTGGGATATGGACGAGCGCCTGTAACGAAATTGTAGAACAAGTGATATGTTGCACGTTACTTGCGTTGCAGATCTTAGTTTATTCATATGGAGTAAAAACAACAGAACAGTATTAAGACGCCGACATCAACAGGGTCCCTCTGCTGCAGTTTTTATACGGTAGGCACAGCGAAACAGTGATGGCAATGTAAAAAGAATTACTATGTAACACTTCCAATGAGCTTCGTTCAAGTCTACCACGTTAGAATATCTTTGAAAAGTAAAAATGCCCTGAAAACAAGTGTCATGCTGCAGATGATCCAGTTGACGGACACTTTATTAGTTCATACCTGGAGCAACATTATGTTTGGCTTAAAACTCACCAAGAGTCACAATTTCCCACAAAAGTATTCCATAGGACCATACGTCACCCTCTGTTGTGTAGACGTCATCAACAATTGATTCTAGTGCCATCCAACGAATAGGCAACCGACCCTACAACAAAAATTACCAAGATTGGTATCAATCATTAGTTAGAAATATCCAATGAAAAGAGCGGAAATCTGTCGGCTAAAACCATAACGCTAAAATTGCCAAAGAAACCTACCTCCGACTGTCGTTGGTACATCCTCCTACTCTTGATGTCACGAGCAAGTCCAAAATCAGACACCTTACATACCATGTTCTCACCCACAAGGACATTTCTAGCAGCTAGATCTCTGTGAATGCACTGTAGTCAAAAGGAGGATGCTACTTCAGTGAGCCAACTTAAAAAAGTACATCCCCACCTGTACCCTTAATAATACCAATGCCAATAAAAGGCTACGGAAAACAAATATGAAAGGAAGAAGTTCAGATGTAATCGTGAAGTGAAATTTTTCTTTCCAGTAATCCAAAATTGTAATGCCCACCTGTTGTGAAGCAAGGAAGGCCATACCTTCAGCCACATCTTTAGCAAACTTGATGAGGTCTCTTGATGTTAGAGATTTACTCCTTCCATGAAGGTTGCTGTACACCTGCTTGCTTTTACCTCGACTGCTTGTTAGAAGATCTTTCAGTGGGCCTTTCGACATGTACTCCATAATGATATAAATTGGATCTGAATGATATTTATAAAGTATAGGGTCCTCTTATGCAAAGTCTACTGATTGTAAACTCCCCTAGCTTCATTAATGTACTATATCGTACATGTATCTTGATTCTACGTATTTGTCTATTGCTGCAGATTCTTTAGATAGTCAGCAGCCAATATCAATGTGTACAATCAAATGATTGTTTGGGGCAATTACTAAAGTAGAAACATACCCCCATCAGCGCAAAATCCAAGGAGTTTGACGACGTACGCGTGGCTTGGAAGTTGTTTCATGAAGTCCAACTCTCGGAGCAGATCCCCTCTTTCGGTCAGATCTGCGTCGTCTGGTACATAAATGCCGGAATAATTGTTTTGTAGTGAAAAGACATATGTTACGGTTAGGTTTTAGCTTAGACTTCGTAACATTAACGTCCTAAGTAACCTGTATAATTTTACCCAAAGGAAATAAAAACAAAAAGATTTTACACATCAAGAAATAGTAATCCGAAGATTTCATTGTTTGGTTTTGCAAATTACCTCTGAGGGTTTTAATTGCTACTTGAGTGGCAGTTCCCAATTGGACAATGCCACTAGCTTTCCCGAGCAACACCTTTCCAAAGGCACCTTGTCCTAGTTCACGTACAATTGTCAGCTTGTCTCGCGAGAATGCTGTAGCAGTTTCGGAAATACTGGCGTAGGCCGATGTACCTGGATGACTACTGCCACTAATAGCCAAAACTTGCAAGGGCACGTCTGCAGAAAATGTGTAGTAAAACAAGGACCGGTAAGATGGCTATCATTGTTCAAAGGAAGACAATATACTTCTTTGAATGCAATAGTTCTTTTCCAAAGGGTGAAAACCAACAATGTGTACAAAGTCGGTCCTACTTTTGCAAATTAATCCTACCCAAGTCTTGGTATTCCACCGCTTCATTAATGGCAGCGCGTTTCTCCTTTGGCTTGTATTTTCTGGAAAAAAAGATTAAAAGAAATAATTTTACATAGTGAATGTATCATGTCTTGCAATAAGATAGATATTTGGAAACTATATAGCAAACCCCATTTATGACACGATTATAACATGTTAGGTCTTATCATAATTTGCTGGCGTAACCATTCCCAGATGTAGTGCCTTTAATTTTCAAAAATGTAGACGTGTGTACAATGTAGGAGCTCCTTCGTTTCGCCACCATGTCTTTTCCATATAATACCACATGGAACGATGAATCCAAATAAAACGTTCAGCTTCCTGCTTTGTTAAAATATAAGAAGAAAAGTACTCAAAGCACCCTCAAAGCACTCATGTAAAGTCCAGTCTCGATTTGCCTTTAAGGTGTGTAATGCACCAGGAGATACGTACGATTTGAGGTCAAGTTTCCTGCTTCCTGCAACTAAAAACAAAGAAATATCCTGTAAACATTAAAACTTACTCAAAAACCGGACAAAAAAAACATGTCAATATCTGCCTTACACATTTATTTTACTTTTCATGGATATTATTGTATCCGATCAAAAATGACGTGTGGGTCCTTTGTTATACTTACAGAATATCCTGTCAAGATTTGTTTGCATAACGCGAGGTCAAAATAGACAGTAATGAATATTCATTGGCCTTTTAACCACTACAAAAATTTCTGTAGCCATGGACATCAATACCATTTTTGTAACTTTGAAGTTTTCAGAGTCTTACCTTCTTGTGACCCTTTCTTGTTCCGTCTGATGTTTCTGATTGCCAGAACATTCACTGTAATGCTGATTAATATTATAATGGTAAGAATCACCAGACCAGCTATCAGTCCAGCATTACTAGATTGTCCTGCAACTATATGAACACAAGACAAAATCATCAATATTTTTGTTACAGTTTGTGTCTCATTTAAGTGTTTTGTTGGGATGGTTCCCCTTTTTAATAATTTCCTTGACGTTCAATTTCTGATGTATATTCCTTCTGTTGTAATTGGTTTGCAGTTCATTTCGTTAGGACAGTTAAATGATAAAACACGCTATCAAAGAGATTTTAAATCACTTCTCTGGCATACCTAATAATGCAGTCACAGGCAGACTACAAAAATTGCCGTAGCAATAGCTGGATTGAATATCTAATGTGGCTAGATGTGTGTTTGTGTCAAGACAGTCGCCATAATTAAACCACACATTCTGATCAGCCAGACGAGCTTCCAGTTGTAAACATGACAAAGCGTCGCCATCTTGGGGAATACCGTCAACGGAAATGCTTCCCGTGTCTTGATTTAATGTGGCAGTAATACCTGTTGAAAGTAATTCACCCAGTCGTTTATGAGCCTTTTATGAAGCATATGGCAACAATTCAAATAAACTCAAAAAAAACGCAGAACTCCATTCGCCGAAATATAGAAGCTAGAAAATCAGAGGGCCTGTGGCTTTCGTCTTGAATGAAAATTATTTTGATAACCCTTTCACAGTTTTGTAGTTAGCAAAAAAAAAAACAATAAGCAAGCAAATCTTTGAGATTCAAAATTTATAGAAGACACTTACCTAAGTTTTCAGGAGTGTTAGCTGTATTTTGAGGAAACAGCAAAAAAAAGGAAAAGTGTTTATCGTCTGTTTATAGCCAGAAACAAATTATACAAATGAAGGATTTTGCACTAGGGTATGCCTTTTCAAGTGGGAAAACTTCTTACTGCGCTGAAATATAAATGAAATTGGCAAGAAGTATTGATGGACTTACGTCGCGTCCTGAAAATTTGTGTGACGCTTTCGCCGTCTCCATTTTGATTCCTGGCGAAAACCTCGATCTCATACAAAGTGTAAGGACTCAGTCCATCAATCATATACTCAAATATATCATCATCTATTCTGACCCGGGTGTTGGGGTCGAACACTCTCGTTGTTTCCACATCGCGGTAATTAAGGAAAAACCACTGAGTTTCTCCTCCATCGTTCCCGGGTTTCCAGGCAATCATGACGGCGCTTCCTGTAACTGTAGCTTGGTCGACTGTCACGTCTTCTGGAGGCAAAGGTTTGACTATTGTATGGAAGAGAACAAACTGCATTCACAAACAATTGTTCGGAAACTTGACAAAAACTCAAGTTAAGTTCTTTCTTACTGTCACTCAAATTACCAAAGTCCGCCCCAGCTGATTTTACTATGAAATCAGTGAAGTGCTGTTTTGATCAGTTTCATATTAATTTAGTAGATAGACATCAACCGTAGAGAAACTAAAGGATGAAAAAAAAGCGTTTTTAGAAAATCAATAAAACACTTAATGGACATCACAAACTGTTAGTTTTACAAAATCCAGGCCTTACCTTTATCATTCAACACAATATTCACTGTGTCAACCATTCCAACGCCATTACCACTGTTGCATATGTAAGAACCGTAGTCTGTCGTTGCAGTCACTTGACTGATGTATAAGATACTCGTAATGGTGAATCCATACACATCATCCCCGTCCGTAACTGTATCGGCCTGAAATATCCTTCCCGGATCGGTCTGATTGGTTATTTGCGCACCAGCTGGACCTTGCCATGTCATTCTGGGGAGGGGATGCCCTTTGGCTTTACATATAAGAGTAGCATCGCGGCCAATCTTTGCCCCAACTGATGTATTAGTCTTAGTGAGAATGCGCACTTCATCTTAAAATGAAATAAAACAAAGTATTTCAAAATTTGTTAAAGAAAATAACTCTTTATTATGTGAGAATCCAGGAAAAAGCATACAACATGAATACCTCAAATATTCTTAGATTTGCCACCAACGAAAAGAATATATCTTACAGTGCACAATGACGTCAACGGAGCTTGAGTGGACAACAGGTGGTACGCCATTGTTGCCTCGACATCTGTACGACCCAGCCTGCTCCTTTCTGATGCTGCTTAGTGTAAGATTGCTTGTACCATCATTGTAGACAGAGGGTAAGGAGTCCAGAGACCCGACCCTCTCCCACGTGATAAAGCCAGCGGGCTTGGGATTGGCATCTGCACTGCAGAGAAGGGTCACTCTATTGCCCTCTTCCACCGGTCCCGGCGGCATGGCAGTTGGCACTGAAAAGTCTGGAGGATCTGAAAACGTAGAGGGTTAAATTACTAGGCAAATTTCCGCTTTTAAAACATCTGTGTGAGAAAATGCTTTCCGTTAAACGACCATTACCACACAGATTGGAAAATACTTCATTGGTGAGAGTATTGATTCGTTTTCACTCTCTACATCAGACATTGAAAAAAGTGATGTATTCATTGCGATGACTTTCATTAAGCTCATCCTTTGTCGTTGTCGACGGAATCCAATATAAAAGTACGCTTGCACCAAAATACGTCAAGACATTGCCCCTGAAATGATTCAGTTCGATGCTTTGATGTCTATAATAAAGGTTAAAGAAGTGCATAAATTTGTTGATGGCTTACACTCCACATTCAGTGCGCAAGAGTCAGACAAATTGTTGGTGCAGGATGCGCTACATTTGTATACAGCTCCATTATCTGCCTTGGTCAATGCACCTGTTGTCAACCAAAGTGTTGTCTTGCGGCCACCGTAGTTGCCATCTTCAATTACTGACTGAGTTGGATTTTCCTGGACGACGTTATTTTTTGACCAAACTAATGCTGTAGCTGGGTTGCTGCTGTCTGAGTGGCAACTCAATTGCACGATGCTTCCCGACGCAGATTTCGAAGGACAACTGACGCTTACACTCTTGGAACAGACTGAGGAAGTTGAAAATGGTTGGGAGAAATCTACGTTAGCCTTTTGAAGCAACTAGTTTGTGATTATCCAGATACACATGCATCTTCAAAATGATTTTGTTGGTCCGAGTCACAGTTGTTCACGTTTGTGGTTTTTTATTCGCCCTCTGGTATCAATAATTACTGAAAGAGAATAACATTTAATTAAGCAAACACGAGTATTAACATTTCGGGGTAAGCGTTCTCCAATACATAGGTACATAATTCCGCCAAAGTTTGATTTCTCAAGGTTTCAATGCATTTTTGACACTCAGAGGATCCAATTGTTTAGACTTACATTGTACATTGATGGGACCCAGCGTCTGTTGAGGAGCAGGCGTCCAAGATCCTCTCTGGGCTGTACATGTAATGATATTGCCATTGTCCTGTCTTCTTGGTATAAAAGTCAACGTACTGGTAAAGCTATAGCGACTTCCTGATGCCGATGAGTTTGTAGATGAACCACTTACAGGTGACCCTCCATTAAGCCAAGCCAGAATCCAATCAGCAGGATAGCCCATATCTGCGGTACATGTAAGTGTAGTCTCAATATTCTCAGTCATAGATGGGCTGCCACTAATAACCGATACATCTGGAGGACCTACATGATTGAAAAAAAAATAAATCCAGGGATGAAACATACATCAAAATGTCAAAGTTTCATTCCCTGTTGTTTTTTTCCAAATACAATTATTACTTAAGAAAAGGTATCTTGCAAAATGTTTAGTTCATATTCCTCTCAAGATAGGTGTGTATTTTATGCGCAAGTGGCAATCTGAAAAAAATTTGCAAGCTATGTGCATACCATTAACATCGACAGTAAGCATTGCAGATGGATATGGCGGCACTGACTCAGCAGTGTATGCCTCACATTTCACCTGTTGTCTGTGATGATTTCTCAAAGGAGCAAACAACCAGGTACCTGACGTGTCAAACAACTCATTATTTTCGGTTGAAGTTGGGGCTCTGATCCCAGTAGATGGCATGTTATTGTTAAGGAACCATTGAATGGTTGGAGCTGGTCTGGTACCCTGGGCCAAGCAAGTGAAAGTGTGTGATGTTCCTTGATCGACAGCTACAGTGGCCCCTGGCACCTTTTCCCCCTCATCATCTGACAGCTTCACCTCTCTTGGTGGTACTGAAGGGAGAATTTGTACACAAATTTCTGGCTGAGGCCCAAGTTGATTGACAGTCTAATGCAATATTTTTTGTATCATTTATGCTTAATCAAGTAATGCTAAATGCTTAATCAAGTATAACGAAATATTTGCGTAGAAATTCAGGCTGCAACTATACCATTTTTCCACAACCTGTTTTGAATTTTTTCAATCTTAAGTTTTCACATTCGTCAGTCCCTAAAGATAGGCCTATTAGTAAACAATAGAAGTGAAATTTACCTCTGACCTGAAGAGTAACCGTGATGTCAATCTCGGAGTCCGTTAATCCATCTTGTCTGTTGGTAGCACCACACATCAATTGAGAAGTGGATGGACTCTCCCGAATGTCAGCTATTATTGTACTGGAGCTGTCTGTCAACCTGTTATCGCCGCTGTTGGGGGTGTTTGTCTGGCTTCCCTGAGGCTGGGAGGACGTTATGCCGCCAGCAAGGGTCCATGTGAAGTTGACTGCTGGTTTCACACTAGGCGTGATACACGTGAATGGACGATCAGTACCAGCTACGACGGTAAAGGAACTGCCGTCAGTGTAGGATGTACCGTTGTATCTTAGCGCAATCGTACTCGGTGGAACTATTTTAAAGATAAGGAAGTAAACAAAGAATGATGAGCAATACCTTATGATAAAAAAATAACGGTGCAGGATTCGCTAAACACACGGCAGATGCTCCATTTCAACGTAATCAGATGGTTCTGTGCAAAAAACAACAGACGTAATCACCACGTGACAATGGTTAATGTACATATAAGTAAACTTCGAAACACTGTCTTGCTGAACTGATTGAGCCAAGCTTGACTAAAAAGTAGTGTAATATAAAAATCAATAGACCTAAATGGAGTGTACCAACAAAGTAAATATAGAATTGTGACACCACATAATCAGTGTGGCAAACAGTATCACCAGAGGCTATTATATAAGTCAGCACCTCTCTATTTAACCCGCAGTAAAAATAGCGGTGCCGCTTTTGTGTTGTGTTGTTTTGGTTTATTGGAGGTACAGCTAATCCCTTCATCTTGGCTGACATAATGAGCTCATTTAAGGGATTACTGCTCACAGGAGGTTGTTTTATGGTATTATTCAATATGAAATTCTATTAAGCTGAGAATACACACTTCAGTGAATAATCAAACTATTAAAGAGCTGTCCATATTCCATAAGGACAGCTCTTTTTACCATATGGAACAGTTTTTAAAACATGCCTACGTCACAGGTTTTATTGTTACCCTTGTAATCATTTCCAGGGAACCTGCCATTAAAAGGTTTTGCCAATAAACTCATTACCCCCCTTTATTGTTACGTTTGAATAATGTTTCAGTCAAAAGCTTCTTGACAGCAGTATTTCAAACAGATAATGATCGAGATGTCACTAATAGATGGTGTATAATGTGAAGCTTACAGTACCAAGCTCATTCATTATACGTGAGTATAATCGTCGATGATATTCTGTCATAATGTATAGGGATCCTGGCATCACGCGTTAGTGCATGTCCTTTTATCTACACAGGCGGTATACATGACATAAAATGTTGTTCAAAGTTTAAACAATCACAGGCATTCAAAAGTTCACCATGTTCTCCTTTTTTAAATCAATCGCAGCCGCGATTTTTTTGGAACTTTTGAAAAGGAAAATTTAGAAATGGTATGAGCGGTTTATTACCATTTTCATTCATTCGTGAGATTTCAGCTATTAATCAAATAACACTGGCAAAAAATGCAACAAGGCTAAGTACTGGCATTTTTTAAATCCACTTTTAAAAGTTTACCTAGTTTGAAAAATAAATTACAAGAATGACATTCGTTCGATTTATCGTTAAACATTAGCAAAGGAACCGGCACACGCATAATACGTCGAGTTTCTGGCAATGTTGATTTCCAGTTAGGCCTTGAATCGAGGGAAAAAATATATAACGTGCCAACAATGGGTGAATACAAAAGCAGGTACGCATGGAGCTCCTCTTCCCGGTGTCATTCAACTTTTAAAAACCACTTTAATCCAAGACTTTGACACCTGCCCTACATTTACTTTAAAAGTCTGATATTGACAGAATTTTATAACAACCTGACCTAAAATAACAACTGAGCACTGGAACAACTCTACGATCTTCGTTTGGATGAGCATGATGCATTGGTGATCAAAACAACTGTTTATGTTGTATCTTGGAGTGCAAAATTCTTCCAAAATCCTAAATAATTCTCAGTATTTTTGACAAACTAAAAAGATCGTTTGTTAACGCCTTTATTAACAACAAGCTATTAGTTTCTTCACTGTTGAAATTTTAGTTTACAAGTATCAAGTGCTTTAGTAACCTCGTACTCGCACATCCAGCGATTCGATAGCACTAAAAGGAGCATTTTCCACACTACACCAATATCTTCCCTCGTCATCAGCGATAAACGATGTAACAGTCAATGGATACTCAGGATCAGCCTCATCCAAAATGTAATGATTGGGATCTCTGTTCAAAGTCTTTCCAGTCGATGGTGTGTACTGTGCAGTAATGGTAAATATTCCACTGATGGGATTATTCACACTGAAGTCAGTGATGACCCATCTCAGTCTATCGAATGTTGCAGGTGCTTCACATTGTAAGGTTGCACTTGTTCCATTATCGACCAAAGATGGACCCTTGACTGTCAGCTGAGAGAAAACTGCATTGAAGAGACACAAAATTAAACTTAACTTAAAAGACACAGACAAAGGGAAACAAAACCAAGTGTCTTTTAATCGAGGAGCAACGGAAACATCCATTTCACATCAGTTTTTCACATTTCATTTTTATTTCATTTTTAAACTCAGATTTTGTGGTGAGTGATGCTTTAATACCTACTGAAACGGCTGTCCAGCAACTCTTTACCCTCTCCAACAATTTATACGTCCTACCTTAAGCATCCTTACACCGTGGGAAGTAAACGACAGACTTAATTATCTAGCATTTTAAGGAGAAAACCTTGTAGATTAAAGTACTACGGAGCACTGCCAAAAACAAGTCACGTTTATGTTAAAAACTGTCACTTCCTTTTAGTAATCTCTTCTTACCTCGCAATATCAACAACAGCCCGATGGCAAACGAAGACAACAAAGCAGCCATGTTGAACTTGTGTTGAAGCAGGAAGTCCAAAGAACATGGGCTACTAGGTACTGTGGTCTTGGTGTCCTTAGATTTATGCTGTGATTTATCTTTGTATTTGTGGGTCTCGAATTCACATATTGCTGGCATTGTTGGTTTTCTATTTCCGTTAACTAAGACCTTGAAATGGCAAAGAATAGAATCAATGACTGGGTAGCGTGTAAAACATCTGCAGATTAGAAAAAACTGAACTTCCTGGTTTTGGACAACTTGTAAAAACTTCAATCCAACTTGTACACCTACAAAAATGTTATCAGTGATAATAATTACATTTATTAGCATCATGCCATTTTGTTAAAACACCTAACAATTAATGAAGTTAATGTACTTTTTTATGCACGTGGGCGGTATAAGGCCAAGAGGCACATCATGTGACTTAAAGTTGCACTCGAACCATCGAACCACAAGAAGCATTCCTGAACAGACACTTTGCACTGGATTTCCTATTTAGAAATTAAGGGTTTGCTAAGGTTGCACTACGATAACACACTAGTCCTATTTAATTGTACCTTGGGCAATTTGGAATAGACGTTTGAATTGCACCTGATACTTTCTTGTTGAACACAAAAATGTAGAATAATTTCAAAAGTGATGAATTATTTTAATAAAATACAATTTGAATATTCCTTTATAGGTTTATACATATGAAGTATTTCCTTTGTAGAATGTAGTTCATGCAATCAAATAATCCACCGACCTCTCAATAACTTACCTCTAACACGAATGACAGTTGAGCCAAAGGGCTCAGGGTTGAACGGTGGAAATTTATAGAAACGACACCAGTACTTGGCACCATCAGCAATTGTAACAGCGTTCACAATTAACGAGAAGTAACTGCCATTGATTGATTGCTGAGCATCGTAATGGTTTGTATCAACATCACTCCCATATGTGATATTGCCTGTACTTGGCTCATAGTCAAGTATACTTCCAGAACCACGCATAGGGGGTTCTGTTACGCTGATATCACTTATCCACCATAGTACGAGCTCTATTCCACTCAAATCTGTAGAGCAGGTGATTACAGCATTGTGTCCAAATGTAACCCACTGGTCAACTGTTACGGTAACTAGCACCACTCCTGAAAACAAAGGGGAAAGTGAAAAAAAGATTCTTGCGTCATGAATCCATGCCCCAAATCTTTACTGGTCTTTATCAGTGAGACGTGCATGCTTATTTGTCCTATTTAGCAAAATCCTGAATAGAATTTGGCACATGATCGTTTTTTTTTTATAAAGTTCCCATAATTTAATGTAATCTCCTCTAATCATTAAAAGGCAGCATACTTCATTATGTCTGGCCTACCTTGTATTAACAACAATCCAATTATGAGACTATGTACGAAGATCAAGGCAGCAGCCATTCTAATACTGTAGTCCAAACTAGGTGGGGTTCAGAGAAGACAGGGCACCAGGAACGACACGAATTTGCACTGCGTATTCTAGGCCGGGACTTGATTGTATATCGCGGCACGTCTATTTCCTGCATCACTGGCCATGGATTCACAAGGTTGCATGGCAACGACGAGTCAAAAGATTAATAAACATAAAACTTCCTGGTTTTAGTAGATCCCCTTCAAGCTAAAATTCAGATTAACTGAAAACTACTACATTTCTGTAACATTCATATGGCCCGAACTGAGCCCCACAGCAGAAATAGCACTGTTTAACAATTTTGAGTCATCAAAATTTGATATACGGTTTCCATAAACTCATGTATCCACCAATGGAGTGCACCCAGACCAGTAAAAATTAAAACAAAGACAGCATGGTGTAATTTTATTTTATATTCGTCTCGATAATCAAGCAATGCTTTCTATCTGAAGTTTATCAAACATTCCCCTAGTAATAATATATTCGATAACACTACTTTCCAACAGAAATACCAGTTTTGTTCTTGTATAATTTTAGCTTATTGAATGTGTCTGGAGTCTGTTGAAATTCGTACAAGTTCGATCTAATATGGTATCAGTGATCCTATCTTACCAACAACGAGCAGCAGGGTGGAAGTTCTATTGCTGACAGATCCCACTCGCGATTTTCGAAATTGAGCCAGACACAGGTATCTTCCTTCGTCAGAAGGAAACATCACTGAAAACACAGTCAACACGCTACTGCTGTTTATGGAGTCTGTGGTCATGGAGTACTTCTCATTTCCTTCTGGGTAGTTTAGCGGTTGTCCTTCTAAATACGAAGCAATTAAATCCGAGTCTTTATTCCACTGAATGAAATTGAAATTGTAAGAAACGTCACTGATAGAGTAGTTACACATTAGGAAAGCTGAGGTTCCTTGCTTTGCATGTGTTGTTGACTGCATCAAGACTGTAACCGTAACTGACTGCCCGTTGGATGCTGAGGAAAACAAAGGAAAATAAATATCAATCAATTTCGAGAGTTCAGGCAGAGAAAGCCTCCCAATCCTTCTTCCCACTGTACATCACAACACATATTGCCAGGACTGCTACAATAAAATCCCCTTCCTCACTCTTTCAAGTGTACGTTATGTAATTCCACAGAAAGTAAGCATATCACAGGATTACTTATTTTCATAAGAATCATCTGAATTGAGAATTTAAAACATGTATTGAAATAAAGATTTTTGAAATTTTAAAACCATTACGCTGAGGATATACCATTAAGTTCATTTTATTGTACAACATTAACATCGATAAACTAATCGATAACGTTAATCGTTTCAAAGGTACGGTAAATTTCCACTCTACTTCCAAAGCTATTCAAAATACCCCATTTTCTCACATTTAATCCTCACCTTGCAAAAAGATCAGCAACCAAAAAGAAGAACGTAGAGAATAGTTCAAAGTTACAGCCATTTCTGGGTGCACGGTTGAAGTTCAGTTCCCAGTTCAACATTCCAATACAAGTAACAGCCATATCTGAGTATTCACACTCAGTGAGAGCCTGTAATTACACGTGCGTATCATGACACCTAAGGATCACATGGGGAAGGCCTTGTGAGACCAACATAATTTCCGGGTTCACATAACCCGCTACATGATGAAACGATCCATGGACCCCCCCCCAATCACTTTACTACACATTTTTGCTTACTCTCATTGGAAGCTTTTTGAGCGAATCAAATGTGATCTGCATGGTTGCTAATAACATCTTGTATAATTAATGCAATCTTAGTGCCGCAATCGTTCTCCACGAAAATAACGCACCATACTATCCAGAAGACGAATTTGAAAACGATATACGTTTCAACTGCAAAAACAATTCATATAATATTCAGTAATTCATAGGTGCATTACAAATATTTTGAAGATCATCATAGGCGTCATTTCATTTGTGTTTGTAACAGTTCATAATTATTCACCAATATCAATTGATTGCGGTTTATGAGCTTAATTCCCAACCTACGTTTACACCAATAGAAACTAGCCTACTGTTAAAAGAATATCGCTTTTGTCCTTTATGCTTGTCCAATAGATTTTGAAATCATTTAAATGTTTGATTAAAAAGTTGTGACCGACGCCGCCGCTGTTTTTGGTTATGGGACCAGTATCCAGTCTTAAGCCCTTCAATGTCAACACCCGAATGGATGTGATTGGCAGGTGCCGCCTGAGAGCAGACCTTGAGAGTATCACGGAACTTCCGGGTTCACTGTTATTTAACCTACCCCAGGTTGGAATTAAAAATAGTTTGAAAGCTGCACGTCCTTTACAATAGTCCCTTGAAATTGTTTTTGTTAGGAAGGCAATCCCTTCCCAGGACGGGACCACAATGAACTTGTATGAAATACATGAAGTTCACGGTGGGCTCATCAGAGAAGAATAAATATTCTCTCTAACAATCAGTCCGTAGCTGTTCAACTCTTTCTTATCTCTTTGCGCACGATATCAATATTTGCATACCAAAAGTATCATTAACTACGGCGAAAATCTCTTACCAATGACAAACAGAAGGGTAGACGTTTCATTGCGAGTGATTGTAACACCCGTTTTTTTAAACTGAGCCAAACACCGGTAATTTCCTTCGTGAGAAGGAAAATGCACTGAAGAGACAGTCAGAACACTACTGCTATTAATTGAGTCTAAGGTCATAGAATAATGGTCGGCCCCTTCAGGGTAGGATGGAGAACGTCCTTGCAAGTACCAAGCAACAACGTGTGTTTCATCACTCCACTGCAGGTAATCAAAATTGAAAGAAGTGTCACTGGTGGAGTAGTTACACATTAAGAAGGCTGACGCTCCTTCCTTCACGTATGTTGCCGATGGCATGACAACGGTGAGTCTCTGTCCGTTTGAATCTGGGACGAGAGAAAAATTACTGAATCCAGTTTGGAATTACTTGAACAGAAGATAGCTAAACCAAATAGCTACGACTTGTGTAATTTCGGGGTCTGTACAGGCTTGCCAGGGTTAATTTACTTTGCTAATGGTAGACAAACGGAGGCACTGCTGTGCCCATATTTGTATCACTTGAATAAGATTAGAATGGAGAACTGCATAAAATGTTGGCGTTGGAGGGAAGAGAAACAGTGTCTTGGATTTGAAAGGTTTTTCATTCAGAAACTTAGGTATATTTACATTTACAGTTTACTCAGGAAATGTCGTACAACCTTAACTCAACACTGAACATTTACTCTTCTTCGTCGTATGATCTCTCTCCATGATATTGAATGCATTATTCGATCACAATCTATACTCAAGTCCACCAATAATTTATGAGGTGAAATATATAACTCTAATTAAGATTAACTCTTTTTTAACCTCTTACCTTTGATTATAAATAGCAACGGTACGGTAAGGCATTGTGCTGAGAGAAAGAGTAGCAAGTTAGCCATGTTGATATATTAGAATTTGTCATTCTCATGCCACGCGTCACTGAACCCTGTACGTGTACGTAGTCAAGCATCCAGAACACTCTGGGAGTCTGTTGGTTCACGTAGCGCTATTGTCATGTTTATTTCCTGTACCAACGGCCTTGGGTCAAGTCACGAAGAGGCCTCGACGGTAAAGGGGTTGGACAAAACATTTGCCGAATAAATTTTCAAAATGACATTAAAAATAAATTTACTCTCCCTCTGAATTCATCAGTTATCATTAAGAGGCTCCGTCTGAGCTGCTCTAGTGTGAAGAATTTGATCTCTAAGTGATCGAAACACATCAAAACACAAGCAATTTATCGGTACCCTTACCTGTTCTGTAGTTGTACACAGGTCCACACTTCAGTATTATTAGAAGTTTAACTAAATAATTAATTTAAATAGCACGTCGTCGTGTAACCATAGTATATTGCACATTTCTTCAACCGCATTTATATTGAAAACAATTCTTTTAAAGGGGATTTTCGGGAAAATAGCTTTTTAAATAAAATCGGAAAGTTTTTACGCTGTAGTCAGAGTGGCGGGAAGGAAAGTTGCTTTAACTATACCTTTGCCTCAATCTTTGAACTAACAAGACTACAATCGGATCTTCAAATATGCAGTATGGTGAAAAATATTTACTTTCCTCTAATGGAAATTCTGGCAAAAATAAAACAAACATGAATAATTAGGCCTAGGTTAACGATATTTCTAATCCCAAGGTATTATTAATATCTGTATATACGGGCCTTTGCTTTCCCAGCTGGTAGTTATCACTAGGGATTGAAAATTGTATTCCGATTTCATTTTTTTTTTACCTCTTATTTCAATTTGAGAGGAACCATACTGATACCCAACACCTTCAACATTGGTGGTACATTCATAAGAGCCTTCGTCAGCCAGTGTCACCATCAATATTTTCAGGGGATAATTATTCTGCCTATCGTTGAACAGATACCGGCTTGTATTGATTGAACTACCCCAATAGACTTCACCGAGAAGCAAGCGCACAATGGAAAAGCAAGATGGTGACAATCTGCACGATGTTTCATTCAATGGATACATTCTCCAGAGGACTTCTCGAGGTGCTCCGACCGGTAAGCAGGTCAATGTTGTTTCTCGGCTGGCATCAGCCCAAGACTCGCTCAAGACTGTCGGTTGCATTGGAGTACAACCAGCTGCAATGAGAACACGAAGTTGAGATGGCCATTTGCGCTTATCAATTTACCATGTCTCTTTACAAGAAAACGAACAGTGGCGTCACTGGAGGGGGGCAGGTCCCCGCCCCCCATTTGAAATTTTGAAATTGCCCCCAAAAAATATATATATACCTAGTTCAATTATTTTCAGTGCCCCCTGAAACAATTGTGCACCCCACGTGCCCCCTCAGCTGTAGCACCGTAGTTACGCCACTGAAAAGGAAAGACTAGGGTGACAGAGTCACCACCGTGGAATTCATTTAGAGTGGGTAGTGAAGAAGTGGGTAAGTAGGGGTCACTGAGATTTTCAATCCTTACATTCATGCAATAGTGATAAATGTTATGGATTAATCTTCTTTTTCATACCTAACGCTTTTTATTTAAAAATCAAGAGGTTTAATTCACGTTCCTCTCCTGTGTCATATCTTATTTTATTTCATATCCAATAAATGCTGCATTTGTTTCTAAAAAAAATATATATCTATCCTCACCTTGTAAAACCAACAGTAGCCAAAAGGAAGAGAGTGAAGGCACGAGCAAACAGGTAGCCATTTCTGGGTGTACTGGGAGTTGTAGTTCTGCTTTACAACTTGAGGTTTTATCGAAACTGACATGTGCACGAACAAAATAACCGTGACAACAGCGCCCACTATTATTTGACATTCAGAGGGAAGACTTCCGGGTTCACATAACCTAGCGCACCAGATTATGAGACCATCAAAATCGGCATTGTCCGATAAAAAACTGCCCCGGTAATACTTGCATTTTTTGTTAAGGACAGCCATTTAAAAAAGTTACAATTAAAAAGTCACATACTTTTTGTCAATATCATTTTTTTAATTTAGGAAATTTGCAAACATTGCAATAAAAATCAACTCAGCGAAAAAATTGTAACTTCTGACAATCATTTTTTTAAGTTCTAATTTTTATTACAAATAAAATTTAAGTAATCATTCAGACAAGTCATTATCCACGTGTGATGCTCAATAAAAAAGGAAAGTCCTTCTATTAAAGTAAGGAAATCTGCTTTTGTCTCATACCTCGGATACGTAATGATGACGAACTTTCCTCCATCAGTAGATTGGATTCGTAAATTACTTCACACCAGTACTTGCCCTCGTCACCCACCTCGACTGCGTTAATTGTTATAGAGAAATCATCCCCAGCCGCAAACGCAAAGCGGGATGCATTGATGGTGGGACCTGGTGTTGTGATCCCGTTCACCCAAGACAAGATCTCTGGGGAATTGGCAGAAGATCCAGCAACTAAGCTGGTCTTCGCCCAGATGAGCCTGGCAATATTGTCGTCTACTGCGCATGTCAATGTTGTTCTTTCTGAAGCATCCACCCATTCTTCTGATGTGACAATTAAATCCCGTACAAATGCAACTGAAACAAATTGAAAATGAATGACAGCTTTTTAAATACCATCTGGAAACTTTTTTGAATTTCCGCTGTGTACATCTGGGCACAGTGAGGGAAGGGGACTTTTCAGAAAAACTGGTTGGTCACCGACCTTGTCCATCTGCGTAAATATCACTTGATTTTACCTGCACAGACACATGAGTGTGAAAATGTAACCACTTAGACTTAATTGAATTGTAATAACAGGAGTGAGGAAACTGGTTTGGCAACAAACATTAGGCAGCAAGTTACACTATTAGATGACTGTTCCTTTCATGTCGCCTATTTCTGGCTATACGCTTCCCGTATTGAATCAGAATGTATCCGTTACTGTTGCTATACAGGCAGGGCCATGTACATCAATGAAACCTCCACCACTGACAAGAGCGGCCAATTTCCACGTTTCGATCTTTTCATGTGATCTGTCCTCTTACCTTGTAGGATCAGCAGAAATTGAATCGATAGGTGCCGAGTAGGGACAGAAGTCACCAAGGGAACAGCTATTTCCGAATGCATTCTATCCGTGAAGCTCACGAGACCCTTCCCTGTACTCAATTCACGCTCAAATATTTGTAAACGCATATAGTTGCGTGCATTTTCAGTGCATTTCCGGCAGCAAAAACCTTCGAAATCACCGAGGCGAGGCACTGGTGGTGAATACTCCAGTTAACATTTGATTCAAATTATGGGAAACTGCAATTTAAATTGTAGCTAACAGAAATAAATGTATATTTCTATTCAACATACAAACGCATTGCACTTACGGCTTTGGCAGTAACATATAATTGCCAAAAATTCATGTTTTACTTTAATTACTAGCAAAACACATAGGAAACTCTACTCTCGACTTTAATCGAAAAAAACTGAAGTTTTACAAAGGAATAGGAGGCCAAACGAATGTTGTTTCACGGCACGGTCAGGATGTGCACACACATTTCCACCAGCTGTGATTATCATGTCCGATTAGCACGACGGTATTTTCCTTTTTAGGTACAGTTTTCTTTAAATGAAAAGCAAGTCTTCATCCTAGCAATTCTCTTCTTACACACTCTGATTCTCATTTGTGTCGAGTTCCATTGGTCTCCTTCCTCCACAGTATTTGTGAGACATTCATAGTTGCTTTCATCTGCTAATATCACAGGTGACATGGTTAAAGGATAGTTGTTATGAGTGTCACCAAAGGAAAAACGGCTTTGATTAATCATACTGTTCCAAAACAAGTCACTTCTTACTCCAACCAATCTGCTGCACCGAACAGATATTTTTTCCTGAGAACTTCACGAGTTGTGGCAGTGGGTGAGCAAGTCAGTATCGTTGCTTGGTTTATGTCAACCCTAGGTTTGCTTGAAACGGTTGGTTCTGAAAAAAAAAACCCAGAAAGGCTGCAATTAAGAAAAATGCACCATGCATATGCCTTCTTGTCACGATAATTCAATTCACATATGAAAGAACATCTTCAAACCGTTTGAGTAACTCCCAGTTCTTGTAAAAGATGGATCTAAGAAATTGTTTTGTTTTATTTTCTGGAATCAAATTTAAAATATGTCGCGTTAATGAAATT